AGCACAAAACATCTTAAAGACATGATTTGATCATCATGCTAGTAGATGGAGTTTCCGAGAAGAATAAGTATACTAAAAATAGAAAAGGGCTTGGACATACTTGTACTGAAATTGTTTTAATAAAAATGTTTCCAGAGTCAAGGAGTAGTGAGTGTGAGTAGAATATATTAACAACTCTCTTTTCTAGGTAGATGGCTGAATTTCACAAATAGTTCAGTCAAGTCAATCCAGAGTATGATGTCAGGTCAAAGCTATAGTTGTGGATCACAGCTTCTTCACCTTCCTAAGTAGGCAAACCTTTTAAGAAATGGCTGTATCACAGGAGATTTTAAGTCCTTGATCCGAGGTTTTAACTTTTGCTATTTTGGAAACATGGCTAATACCCTAATTCTTAACATGCTGATGTTCACAACAAACACGTACTAATTACTGTTTTGACCTTTGTTTGCACTTACTGAGACACAACTATGTGCCAAGGACTTTGCCAGAAAGAGAGGTGAAGTGATTATCTCAAAGATTTATTGTAAGAATTAATCTGTGTTAATGGTAAATCTTCAGCACTCTTATTTATTCAGAGAGCTCATGTGACATAGTTCAAAAGGAGTAACACGGGTAACTCAGAGGCAGCCGCTCCTTCCTCTGGAAATTTGTATCCCCCAGAAGCTTTGTGAGAGACAAGGGATTTGAAGCCTCTGAAAACCTACTGGAGGGTGAGTTACAAGTCAGTTTTGGCTCTATGGTCATGGTTTTAAGTTTGTGTTATTATTATTTATTAAGGAGCTCTGGCTGCATAGCCCATAGCATGTAGCAGTGCTAACAAAAAGACTACACATCTCCAGTGCTTCCAGTTTACCAGGTGCTTCTTTGGTGAAAGACAAGCAAGCAGCCTCCTCCTGTTAAAAGTTATCGCGGCAGAAATCTGACGGAAGGTCTCTGGGAATTGAATTGATGGCAGTAAGTTTGAGGGCTTTTATGTTTTATCAATTATTTTTATAGTACTACTGTTGCATGAAGCTCTACTAACAGCATTTTGAAATGGCATTTTCTTTTTTTTTTTAAGTGAAAAGATTTAGGTACAGATAGTTTAATGGGACATCCCCAAAGCTTTAATAAGTAGAAGATGGACCTAGTAGTCAATACTCTTGAATATTTGTTTACCTAAAAAAAACAAAAACAAAACCAAAAACAACGTATACTCTTTCCACTAAGTCATGGTGCAGCATGGCTCTTTCCAATGGAAGAGATTATACACTGGGTCTAAACTTTCAGCACAATGGGCACTATTGAAAAGAATTAGCTCACCATAATTCTGCAACTCTTTATGATGCCAGCTGCTATAAACAAAAAAGAAAAAAAATCCCACAAAACTATTGAAAATTTGGAAGGATTCCCACCATAATAGCACTGTGTTTTTTAAAAAAGAATTCACATGCTATATAACAATCTTTATATATATAGCCAATAAAAAGCCAATCCTAAGTGACAATATGTGGGCAGAAAATGAATTACTTAGAAACATCTTATGTATTTTACATACAAAACAGTCATTAATAGACGCAGTGTTGCTTAACCCTTTGCTGTACTCTGGAACTACAGCGGGAAACACCAATAGACATAATGTTTTAAGCTCAATTCTCTGCACAGCAGGAGTGAGAGCACTCTATCTTCTAACAGCAGTTTGGATGACTTTACACAGAGTGGGGAAGGAAATTATTCTTTCCCATGTGCCAATGGAGATGCTCCCTACGCAGTGACTCAGCCTGAAACCCTAAACAGGAGCATGGTCACACACAGCATGCTGTAGGCAGCCACAGCACGCTCCACATTAGCTGCCTTCAGCATATGTGAAAACAACACATAACCCAGGCTGCCAAAAGCGCCTAAAGCTTCTACCTTGGAGGAAGAATCTAGTTTTACAGAGGAGAACGAAATAAATAAAGAGAAGCATCAACTCTTCATGTTTTGAAATGTGGTACTTTTTCTATTTGATCATCAAGAATATGTTCAAACAGCCAACACACTTACGTGCTCTCAATTAAAGTAATAACTCTAAACACATTTTTTTTTTCTTCTTGCCAGGAGCTGTTCCAATTACACCCACTCCTCTTATCATGCTGGTTAAGTTCCAAGGACCAGGTCAGTAGGTGAAAATCAGCAATATGTGAAAAGACAGGATTTGGTTTTAGTCTTCAGATCTTGTGTTTGTCAGATTGTTTGGCTGTTTTGGTTTGTTTTTTGTTATGTTTTTGGTTTTTTTGGGTTTTTTTATTGCTGTTATTGTTTTTAGAAAACTATCTTATAAATGATAACATTTCTAATTTATTGTTACAGTCACTACTGATTTTAATTATGGATTATTCCTCTTCACAAGAGAAGGCTCAGAGTATACAAAGTTGGCTAAAGCAGTGTTGTATGCTTGAAGGGTTCAAGCCATGACTACTTCATCTTCTTTCTGTGCCGGGACAGAGCTTCCCTCAGGGAGCTACCTTTAAAGCTCCACTCCTTTTACTGTGACCCTCTTGGTTCACAGAGCTGGAGTCTGTTCTTCCCTTTGGATCTAGTAATTTGCAGAAGCTCAGGACTTCTGTGAGGATGCTGCAAAACTGGCAACACATGTGCAAAGAGTGGTCAAGGTTCCTAGCCGAGATCAACTCACTTTGAGATGTCATGAAATTTGATCACATTCTACATGCCTCCTCTGATGCCTCTTTCTTTCCTGTCTTTCCACCCATTAGGCCTTTTGAGCTATAAGATCTCAGGCCCTATAGAAGCTTAGTGCCCCAGAACACTTCTGCCTCAGTGTTGTTTAGATATCTTCATAAAGGCCATGGTTGTGGAAGACATGACAAATCAGCTATTCTTAAGGGGCAGAGGGTGAGGGATAGTGTGGACCTACTTCTAAGAGGCCCCCAAATGAAACTCCAAAAGAGAACAGATGCTCTACAACTGTTTGCACCAACGCTAAACTGCATTGTTGTACAAAAGAGCTGCATAGTAGATTATTTATCATTATTATAAATGCCATGTGTCAGATAATACAATAGAAGACAAGTAAAGGAGCGGAAATAGTGCAAATATATTGATTCATTCAAATACATGGGATATTTCCTCCACATTACAATTGCAGTAAATGAGGCAGAGAGCAGAAAAGTCCCAAGTCAAATATATAAATAAAGGCAGGATCAAGGCTTGAAGAAAGACTGTCTGATGCACCAATTGCCTAATCAGACAGGCTGTGCTGAATCACTCTAATTACCTCAATTATTAATGAAAAAAAGCCTGGTGCAATGTTCAAATCCACCAGATGCTCTGCTGGAGAAGGAGGGGCAATCTCCTCCTGTGCTCGTTGGATACAATTCGAGGGCACATAGTAACAACAACAGCAACAACAAAAAACCCATTTTCTCTTAAAAAAACCAAAAGCCTAGAAGTCATGAGTACATTCAGATTTGCAATGTATATTGTGATGACTTGAGGGAAAAAAATCTACATCAAATAAGTAGCTCTAGAAACTATCTTCATGATTTTAAAACAATGCTTCAACATCATATAATCTGGATTTTACTGTCGTTGGAGTTCCATAATCTCATTCATTTTACCCAAAGTTTCACAGCTTTACCACTTGCCTAAAAATCACTTCCTTCATATGTATCACATATAATCTTAGCATGTTGCAAATTCATCTAAATTAGCAAGTTGTGTTTTCTCAGTATTTAGTCATTTAATGTCTATAAATGATTCTTCTTATGGAAAGCAACAATATAAGTAAGTTCAATAAAATTAATCCATCATGCCATTTTTCTGATAGACCAGTATCTTCTCTGAAGCAGAAAATCCTTCCTAAAGTATTGCATTGCAGCATAATAAATCATACCTTTAAATGTCAGCGTTCAACCTGATACCCCTGGTTGCATGTACTGAAATATATGAAAAAGATACTAATTTTTTAATTTTCTGAATAAGAAATTTGTTTATACTTATATTTTGACAATGGCAATTCATTACAAACAGAGACACTTTATTCTTTGCACACAAATAGCACCTTTCATGTGGTCATGGCTATTGAAAAGGAGAAGGGCTGATTGTGGCAACGGACACAAATGTGTTGAGAACGATAAAGTGGGTGCTGGTTAGGACAGAGTTCAGATATGTTTTCAGGTAGAAATGAATTTTACTTGACTCAATGGCATTTAACAATAACAAAAACTATCAAGTAAATGGTTATGGTCTATCTTTGATGTATTTTTACATACTATACAAGTCAGCACAAGACACAATAATTTCTATTGATAATCTCCAATCCCAATTCCACAATGTATAGGTAGGTCCTAAATCTCAGTCTTTTTAAAATATAATAAGTTCTCTATCCAAAAATACTTTTCCCTTGTCATGATTATTAGTCAGATTATATTGACCGAAGGATGGCCTTTCAATCATACGTTGTCTTCTTAATTACAGATTTGCTGCTCCTGCTTGTTCTTAATTACAATACTACAGGTCTCCATTCTCCCTCGAAATCTTTATTTTTGCTTTGCATCTATTACAATTGAGCTCTGGTGGATTTCAGGGGTTTCACTGCCAACCCAAAGGAATGCTGTTCGAATCCACCAGCTACTCCACAGGAGAAAGATGGGTAATCACCCCCTGTATAATGTACTACCTGTGAAAACTCACTGGAAGGCCAGCTATGAGTTGATTCTGATTCGACAGAACACAATAGCAACACTACAACTAGGATGTTTGTAAGTTCATTTCTGATTCTAACACTCTAGTTTTCTTATCATCAAAATGTGATATTTGCCTCATTCTGGCAAAGTTAGTTCCATAAAGACATTTCCTTCGTCTGTCCTTGAAAAGTAGCTTCTGTTGACCCTCATCAACGTACACAAAACACACAGGCACACCTTATCCCTATGAGGAACAAGTACTGCAGTCTCTTGTAAATAAATGAGCCCTTATATATAAATACCAAATAAAATTATATCAATATTTATACTTACATTCAGCATATTTCTGAAGCTGTGAAAATTCTGAGGGACTAAGGTGGGCCCACTTTTCCTGATTAGTCATTGTGGCAGTGAGGAGCTCTCTTTCATACCAAGTAGAGGTTCTTTGTTCAGGTGTTTGGCAGAACTTTATGCTTCAAAGATTCCACATGGCCTGTTTTATGATGAAATACCTCAAGCTTTCAAAATAGGCAATCTGTCAACACGAAACCGCTGTGGATATGAGTTTGTAGTTTCAATAATGAAATAAAGCACTGGAGAAAGAAAAACAAAAAGATAAGAATATAAGCATTACTACAGAAAGGAGAAAGAATGGTAAGTTACAACATAGTAAGAATTTTCAGTTCCTAAATAAAGCATTTCAAAGTTATATTTTCTTGTAATACTCTAGTGTTCATTTATTAGAGTGGTTAACTTTAGATATATTTCCTAGTAACAACCTAAAGATTAAGGAGAGTACGTAAAGTGGAAAAGAATGTAAAGTCTAGTTTCATATAAGTAAAATTTGTTCCATTGTATAAATTCATCATTGCAAAGACCAAATGAATCTATAACCTTAATTCAAGGAGATCTATAATTTCTTTATCATCTAAGCATATATATAAACTAGATCACAAGTCTTAAGAGTGAATGATATGTTTCGTTCATATACAAAGTTCTTGCTGTTGTTGCTATTAGGTGCTATCAAGTCTATTCTAAGTCATAGCAACTCTCAGAATTACAGGACAAATCATTGTTCAGTCATACACAATCCACAGTAATTGGTACACTTGAGCCCATTGTTGCAGACACTGTGTCAATATATCTTATTGAAAGTGTTCCTCCTTTTCCACTAACTTTCTACTTTTTCAAGCAGGTTATTCTTCCCTAGGCACTGGTCCCTCCTGATAGCATGTCTAAAGCCTGTGAGATAAAGTATTATGATGTATATGGCCATGGAGCATTCCAGTTACACTTATTCCAAAGAGATATGTTCACTTTTCTGAAAGATTGTAGCTTTTGTTTTCTGCACCTTACTCTTCAAAGTTACCTATTTGTTACTAACACTTGAAAGAGGCCTTTTGCAGTGAATGATTTCTTGACTGCTTTGAGGTTTCAGACAAAATGGAATTCAATTCAGTATTTTCTATTTGTTATGACGCTGTTCACTGGTCCATTTGTGAGGATTTTTATTTATGTTATTTATGTTTAGCATGTAGTTCGTATGGAAATCTGTAATTTTTCATCTTTATCAGTAATTGTTTCTGATAAATTTAAGTCAGTCTTCTTAAACATCTGCATTTCTCTGCCAAAGAACTTCTACAGGATATATTTTATATTGTTGTTGTTGTTATGTGCCGTCAAGTTGTCTGTGACTCATAGTGACCATATGTACAACAAGCCTAAACCCTGCTCTATCCTTTGCCCATATCACTCTCTCCCACAAACCTACCCCAATTACACCAGTCACTGAATCAATCCATCTCATAGAGGGTGTTGTCCCTCCACCCTGCAAAACATGATGTTCTTTTCCAAGAACTGGTCCCTCCTTGCAACATGTCTAAAGTATGTCAGAAAAAGCTTCAGAATCTTTGCCTCCAAGGGGCAGCACGGTTTCAACCTCCTTAGGGAAAAAAAATTTTTGTTTTCTTAGCAGTCCATGGTATATTCAACACTCTTCTCCAACACCACAGTTCAAAGTCATCAATTCTCCTTTTATCCTCCCTAGTCATTGTCCACCTCTCTGGCACATAGCAACTTATTGCAAAGACCATGGCCAGTATCAGGCACACCTTAGTCTTCAGACTGACACCATTGCTCTTCAGTACTCTGGAGAGGTCCCTAACAGCAGACTTTTCCATCTCAATATATCTTTTACTTTCCTGGCTGCTGGTGCCAAGAGTGTTGACTGTGGAGCTAAGCAAACTATAGCTGTGAACAATCTCAATCTCTTCACCATCCATCCTTATCCTGTCAATTAGCCCAGTGGTAAGAATCTTTGTTTTCTTGACAGTGAACCTCAATCCATATTGAATGTTGCAGTCCTTGACCCTCTGCAGCAGCGCTTCAGGTCCTCCTCAGTTTCAGCAAACAGGGTTGTGTTATTTGCATAACGCAGATTGTTACTAAATCTTCCTCCAATCCTGATGCCACATATCTCCTCATAGATCCCAGCCTCCTGGATAATCTGTTCTACATACAGGTTGAAAAGGACTTGAGGAGGACACATCCCTAGAGTACGCCCTTCCCAATTCTGAACCATGCAGTGTTTCTTTGCTCTGCCCTGGACCTCCTGGTCCAAGTATAGGGAAGATATTTTATATTGTTGTTGTTGTTATGTGCCGTCAAGTCGCTTGCGACTCATAGCGACCCTATGTATAACAGCCCTAAACTCTGCTCTGTCCCGTGCCAATCGCACTGTCTCTGACACTCACATCCCAATTATCCCAGTCACTGAATCAATCCACCTCATAGAGGGCCTTCCTTTCCTGCGCTGTCCCTCCACCCTCCCAAGCACGATGTCCCTCTCTAAGGACCGGTCTCTCCTCACAATATATCCAAAATAGGTTAGATGGAGCCTCAGAATTCTTGCCTCCAAGGAGCCACCCGGTTTAACCCTTTCCAGGACAAATCTGTTTGTTTTCCTAGCAGTCCATGGTATTCTCAATACTCTTCTCCAGCACCACAGCTCAAAGGCATCAATTCTCCTTCTATCCTCCCTAGTCATTGTCCAACTCTCTGATGCATAACAGGTGATTGCGAAGACCATGTCCTGTATCAGATGTACCTTAGTCTCCAAAGAGATACCGTTGCTCTTCAGCACTTTTGAGAGGTCCCTAACAGCAGACTTTCTCATGGCAATGCGCCTTTTAATTTCCTGGCTGCTGGTGCCAAGACTGGTGACTATGGAGCCAAGCAAACTAAAGCTGTGTACAATCTCAACCTCTTCACCATCCATCCTGATGCTGCCAATTGGTCCAGTGGTGAGAATCTTTGTCTTCTTGACATTGAGCCTCAATCCATATTGTAGGATGCAGTCCTTGACACTCTGCAGCAGGCGCTTCAGGTCCTCTTCAGTTTCAGCAAGTAGGGTTGTGTCATCCGCATAAGGCAGGTTGTTGATAAATCGTCCACCAGTCTTGACCCCACATTTCTCCTCATAGAGCCCAGCCTCCCGGATAATCTGTTCTGCCTATAGGTTGAAAAGGTATGGAGATAGGATGCATCCCTGGCATATGCCCTTCCCAATTTTGAACCATGCAGTGTTCCCTTGCTCTGTCCTAAAGACTGCCTCGTGGTCCAACTAAAAGTTTCGCATTAGAACGATCAAGTGTTCTGGGATTCCCATTCTTCTCAGAGTCAGCCATAGTTTGTTATGATCTACACAGTCAAATGCCTTTGCATAGTCAATGAAACACAGATAGACATTCCTCTGGTATTCCCTGCTTTCAGCCAAGATCCATCTAACATCAGCTACAATATCTCTAGTACCACAACCCCTTCTAAACCCAGCCTGGACTTCTGGTAGTTCTCTGTTGATGTGCTGTTCCAATCGGTTTTGGATAATCTTCAGTAAAATCTTGCTTGCATGTGAAATCAGTGAGATTGTTCTGTAGTTTCCACATTCTGTTGGGTCACCTTTCTTTGGGATAGGAACAAATATCGATCTCTTCCAGTCAGTTGGCCAAGTGGTCGTTCTCCAGATTTCTTGGCACAACACCATAGGCTCTTGCTCATATGTTGTTTCATGAAATTCTTCTGTCTTCCAATTCCTTTAGATACAGTGACTCAGTATATTCCTTCCATCTTCTTTTAATACTTCCTGGATCATTTAGCATTCTGCCCAAAGCATCCTTGATTATAGCAACTCAAGGTTTGAATTTGTTCTTCAGTTCCTTGAGCTTAAGATACGCTGAGCGAGTTCGGCCCTTTTGATTTTCTGATTCCAACTCCTTGCACATTTCAAATTTTATATTACATTCAGAAAGATTTAATTTGCATGTGTGTTAATGATATTATTTGATAATTTCTGTGTTCTGATACAATGGGCACAAATATGGATCTCTTCTAGTCCATTATCCAGGTCTTCCGCGTTGCTGGGCACAGAGGAATGAATATTGCCAGTGCTGACTCCACTTATTGAAATACCCGTTACTAGAATTCAGATAATTGTATGGACTGGTCTTCAGTGACAGCACAGATATTTGTAATTAATACAAATATATTTCAGGCACAGAAGGAGCTGTTCTTACCATTTTAAAAAAAGTCTTGTAAATTCTCAAAATAAAATAATTCCAAATGTCTGGCAGATATTTATGAAAGAGATTTGCATAATGATAGAGAATATTTACTATAAATAAATATTAAAACTAAATCCCTAGTTTGTCTAGGACTTATGTTGGCTAGACCTATTAAAGTAAAGAAAGTAAAAAATCAGCTAGTTTTATATTTTTGTCAAAGACTATACCAACTGTTCAATAATCAACATGACTGTCATCACATTTTGGTGTGTTTGGGTTTTTTTTTTAAGAAAATAAAGTATCAGGAAAAATACTCATAACATTTATAAAACTATGATAGGAAAGCTTCTGTGTGCAGATTACCTAAAGCCAAAGTACCCAGGCAGACAAGCCTGCCTTAGTGCTTCATTTGACTTCAGTATCTCTTTGCTATTATCCAATAGCAACCTGGGGAATGCTCTCTCACATCCTGTCTTTTTTTCCTTATAAAGTAATTCTTTGATTTTACGATAACCACCACCCTAGCAGATATATGCACACCCATGTTTATTGTGACTTTGTTCATGACAGCAAGAATTGGAATCAACCCAAGTGCCCATCAACAAATGAATGGATAGAAAAGCTCTGGTATATTCACATATTGGAATACTATGCTGCATTAGAAAACAAGGAACTCATGAAATACTATACAAAATGGTGACCCTGGCAGACATCATGCTGAGAGAAATATCTAAGTCACAAAAGGACAAGTACTGCACGGTGCCACTGTTGTAAAGTGGGACTGACATCGGGATTGGGAGGGAGACTGAGAAAGAGGGGATAAATATTATATACTGCATTGAAACAGAGGAGGGAGAGAACTGTTTAAAAGGAATAGATAATTTGGTATTATTGTCATGACAGGAGCCCAGAATGAAGGCTGCATAGTGGAGTGGACTTGGGGGTAGGGATCCTATAATAATGAAAGAATGTTTCTTTTACTTTTCAAAGAGAAGAGCAAATTGGGAGGGAGAAGTAGGCAGGGAGAAAAGT